TTTCTTTCTTAATTTCTCTTTTGACCCATTCATCATTCAGGAGTGTGTTGTTTAATCTCCATGTGTTCGTGTGGTGATTTTGGCTTCTTCGGGTGTTGATTGTAAACTTTATTGTACTGTGGTCTGATAGAACACATGGAATTATTTCAAACTTTTTGTATTTGCTGAGCTTTGTTTTGTGCCCCAGTATATGGTCGATTATGAAGAAAGTTGCATGGGGTGATGAGTAGAACGTATGTCCTTTGGTGTATGGGGGGAATACTCGGTAGATATCTGTTAAGTCCATTTGATATATGGTTTTGTTTAATTCAGATGTCTCTCTGTTAAGTCTCTGGCCTGTTTACCTATCTAATGGAGATAGTGGAGTATTGAAGTCCCCTACTATTAATGAGTTGGCGTTAATTTGGGTCTTGAAGTCCTGTAGTGTTTTTTTACATTCTTGGTATAGCTGTACTTTTACCCTGTTATACCCTTGTTGGAATTCTTTATGCAACGCCTTGGGTATAGTCATTCCTTTCTTCAGCTCTTTGTATTACTCCCAGAACTCTCTGAAGGGCTAGTTTGGTGGACAAGAATTCCTTCAGCCTATTATGTCATGGAAGCTTTTTCTTTCCCCTTCAACTATAATAGACATTTTGGCTGGATATAGTAATCTGAGTTGGCATCTGTGGTCATTTAACACTGGGAATACTTTGGTCCAGGCTCTTCTGGCTTTCATAGCTTGCATTGAAAAGTCAGCTGTAATCCTAATGGGTTTTCCTTTATATGTGACTTGTTGTTTCTCTTTTGCAGCTTTCAGTACTGTCTCTTTGTTCTGTACATTTAGTGTTTTTACTATTATGTGCTGTGGAGAGTTTCTTTTCTGGTCCTGTCTATTTGGTGTTCTATATGCTTCTTGTATTTGTATGGGCATGTCTTTCTTTAATTTTGGGAAAATTTCTTCTAAAATCCTGTTGTAGATTTGGTCCATGCCATTATCTTGAGGGACTTCTCCTTCTTGTATGCCCATGATTCATAAG